AGGTCGGTGCAGGCAGAGTTCAAGCAGAGTCAGGATCAAGCAGAGTCAGGATCAAGCAGGAAGCAGGCAGGATGCAGGTACAGGGGCTCATGGGAACAATACACCAAGGCACTGACTGCAGGTCTGGCCATTCTTAAATACACCTCCTGCAATCAGCCTCAGGTGATGGCTTGATTGCAGGAGTGAGCTTCTGGCTGCTGAGAGCACCCGCTGGCCAGCCCTGGTACTGCAGCCCACACGGCAGGTGAGTCCCACCACCAGTGGTGAATCCATTCCTGACAATAACACTGCACAAGGCTGCCCCTAGAACACTGCACAAGGCTGCCCTAGAACACTGCACAAGGCTGCCCCTAGAACACTGCACAAGGCTGCCCCTAGAACACTGCACAAGGCTGCCCCTAGAACACTGCACAAGGCTGCCCAAACTTTACACTTGGCACAGTTCAGTCAGGCAGGTCCCATTCTCCTGGCAACCGCCAAACCCAGACACGTCCATTGGATTGCCAGACAGAGAAGTGTGATTGGTCACTCCAGAGAACACGTCTCCACTGCTCTAGAGTCCAGTGGCGGCGTGCTTTACACCACGGGATCCGACACTTTGCATTGCACTTGGTGATGTAAGGCTTGGATGCAGCTGCTCGGCCATGGAAACCCATTCCATGAAGCTATCTACACACTGTTGTTGGGCTCATCTGAAGGCCACACCAAGTCTGGAGGTCTTTAGCTATTGACTCTGCAGACAGTTGGCGACTTCTGTGCACTGTGCGCTTCAGCATGCGCTGACCCCGCCCTGTCATGTGACGTGGCCTACCATTTGGTGGCTGAGTTGCTGTTGTTCCCAGTGGCTTCCACTTTGTTATAACCCCACTAACAGTTGAGCGTGGAATATTTAGTAGCCAGGAAATGTCACGGATGGACTTATTGCCCAGGTGGCCACCTATCACGGGACCACGCTTGGAGTCACTGAGCTCCTGAGAGCGACCCATTCTTTCACCAATGTTTGTAGAAGCAGTCTGAATGCCTAGGGGCTCAACTCTATACATCTGTGGCTATGGAGGTGAATGGAGCACCTGAATCCAATGATTTGGAGGGCTGGCCCAATACTTTTGGCAATGTAGGGTATGTGTATATATATATATATATATATATATATATATATATATATATACAGTATATATATATATATATATATATATATATACAGTGGATATAAAAAGTCTACACACCCCTGTTAAAATGTCAGGTTCCCGTGATGTAATAAAACAAGACAAAGATAAATCATTTCAGAACTTTTTCCAATGTTAATGTGACCTATAAACTGTACAACTCAATTGAAAAACAGACTGAAATCTTTTTTTGGGGGGGAGTAAACATTAAAAACTAAAACTAATCTGGTTTCAAAATTACAACTTCAAAAAACTCACCATGCCTCTTATTAAATACCTTTGTATGTCTACTTTTCAAAACAGTTGTCATTTGATGGATATTTGTATTGTCCTGACATTTGTTCAAGAAATACTGTAGGCTGTCAGTATGTCAGGATTGATCAATTTTCAGATACTGTATACCTTAGATTGTAGACTCTATAACTTTTACACAGACCAAAAAATATTCACTGATTTCTATTATTTTTACCAAAGAAATGTAGAAGAGCACATTTTGGTCTAAATTTATGAAAAAAGATTATTTATTTGCAAAACTTTATAACAGAAAGGAAGAAAAAATGGTGTTTTTTCACAAATGTGTTTGTATTGTTTTTCATTTATACCCCCATAAAATATATGTCTAAAAAAAATTCAAAAAATTTAATTTGGGTATAGTGTTGCATCTCTGAGTAATTGTCATTCAAAGGCTCCTTGTACACGGGACGTTTTAATAACGCTGATAACATTAGCTGTGTAAAGTCATGTTAAAAACGTAAGTTTTTCAGTGGTTTTTAGTGGTTTTACATTAGCGTTTAGCGGAATTTAGTTTTTTTTTTAGCCGCGTTTTTTCAAATTTTTTTAGCTTTATTTGCTAAAAAAGTCCAAAAACGCCAATTTGCCACGTTCTACCGCGTTTTACGTTTTGCCACATTTTTCAGTGTTACCCCTCATGCACACGGGACGTTCTGATAATGCTGGTAATGTTAGCTGTGTAAAGTCACGTTAAAAACCGGAGTTTTTAAGCTTTTTGCAGCGTTTTTTCATTAGCGTTTAGCAGCGGTTTGCTGTGTTTGTTTTTTTAGCGTTTAAAAAAAAAAAATTGGGGGGGGGTCAAAAAAGTCCAAAAATGCTGGTTTGCGGCGTTTTGCCGCTTTTTCAGCATTAGAGCATTTTTACCGCTAAAAAACTCCACTCGGTCTAGGTATTTTTTTCAGGCAAAAAACGTCCCTGGAAAAAACTGTTGATTCCAGTCTGTGTGCGTATGGGCACATAGGATAACATGCTGGGGGGTTTACTGGCAGTAGAAAAAATTTCAAAAGCCAATAACAGCCGCTGTAAAAACGTCCCGTGTGCGTGAGGACTTAGAGAGTTTTTACAGCTAAAAAACTCCTCTAGAAGCCCACTAGTTTTGGGGTTTTTTTTCCAGCCAAAAAATGTCCCAGCCAGAAAGCGTTGATTCCAGTCTGTGTGTGTATGGACACATAGGATAACATGTTGGGGGAGTATACCGGCTGTAGAAAAAAACACCAAAAGCTAAAAACAGCCGCTGTAAAAACGTCCCGTGTGCATGAGGACAAAGAGTGCTAGTGCTGAAATATGACAACTGACGTGGGCAGGGAAGGGGTGAACGCGTCCGGTATTGAAGTGGTTAAAGTGTAATAAAGAATATTTTAATAGAAAAAACAATTTTTGTAGACTGGATGGTGTCAGCCTTGCAGGTAACAACAGCAGGCATAACAAAATGCTTCCAATGGTATAATTACCAGAGCAAACAGGAGGAAATGAGAGAAGGTCCGGGTTGGAGAAACTTTATATCATTTAACCCGGGGGACAGAAGTCGTTGTCCATAGAGAACCTCGCAGTCCAGGAGTAAATCTCTAAAAATATTTTATTTTCTTCTTTAACCACTTCCCTTCCGGCAGTTGTATATAAACGGCCGGACGGTGGCACTGCAGGGGCGGGTAACTGTTCATAAACGGCCTCCCAGAACCCTGCTTGTGCACGCTCCCCGAGAGCGCACAGGACCACGATCCGGTGCCCGCTGTGTCCTCCGGACACAGCGAAACACCGATCGTTGGATGGGACCTCTGTGTGATGTCCCGATCATGTGATCACTGATTGGCCAATCAGTGATCACATGCAAAGTAGTAAGCAAGATGTGACTTCTGACATCATTGCTTACTACGTGTGAAATCTGTGAATGACCACAGAGATCACATGGTACAGGGCTATTCACAACAGCCTTGTACCATGTGACAAGCTGTGACCAATCACAGCTCACACAGTAGTTCTCAATGGCTGCAAGAATGCAGACAGAGAGAAAGATAAATGATTGCTTTTACATCCTATATAGGTGTAAAAGCAATCAGTGTAAAAAAAAAAAAAAAAAAATCTTCATCACCCCCAAAAGTAGTACAGTGTCACCATGGTGACACTGTACTGCTAGGGTGACAGTATGTCAAAAAATAATAAAATAAAATAAATAATAATATAAAAATGTAAAAAAAAATGTTTAAAAATTATAATTTTTGGTTATAAACTAATTTGGCTTTATTTTTTTTTTTTTACTAAAAAGATAACGAATTACATTTTGGCCAAGAATTTTTGGACATTTTCATTTACATAGCAAAAAAAAAAAAATCCCAGTGGTGAATAAATACCACCAAAATAAAGTTTTATCTGTCTCAAAAAAATGGTAAAAAATTCATATGGGTACAGAGTTGCATGACCGCGCAATTGTCATTCAAAGTGTAATAGCGCTGAAAACTGGCCTGGACAGGAAGGGGGTAAAAGTGTTCGGACTGGAAGGGGGTGAAAGTGTCCAGACTGGAAGGGGGGAAAGTGTCCGGACTGGAAGGGGGGGAAAGTGTCCGGACTGAAGGGGGGAAGGGGGTGAAAGTGTCCAGACAGGAAGAGGGGGAAAGTGTCCGGACTGGAAGGGGGTGAAAGTGTCCGGACTGGAAGGGGGGGAAAGTGTCCGGACTGGAAGGGGGTGAAAGTGTCCGGACAGGAAGGGGGTGAAAGTGTCCGGACTGGAAGGGGGGGAAAGTGTCCGGACTGGAAGGGGGTGAAAGTGTCCGGACAGGAAGGGGGTGAAAGTTTCCGGACTGGAAGGGGGGGAAAGTGTCCAGCCTGGAAGAGGGTGAAAGTGTCCAGACAGGAGGGGGGTGAAAGTGTCCGGACTGGAAAGGGGTGAAAGTGTCCGGACTGGAAGGGGGTGAAAGTGTCCGGACTGGAAGGGGGGGAAAGTGTCCAGACTGGAAGGGGGGGGAGTGTCCAGACTGGAAGGGGGTGAAAGTGTCCGGACTGGAAGGGGGGGAAAGTGTCCGGACTGGAAGGGGGGGAAAGTGTCCGGACCGGAAGGCGGGGAAAGTGTCCGGACCGGAAGGGGGGGAAAGTGCCCGGACCGGAAGGGGGGGGGGGAAGTGTCCGGACTGGAAGGGGTTAATTTCTGTTGTATTTATACTGATGTGTGACGGGCAGATAAGGATAATATAATATTTAAAGCAATAGATTTAATGAGTAACACTAAGAAATGTCTTTTCTTGACTGTAATTGTTACACATTTGTGGTGGAAACTGTACAATGGGGGGGCCAATGACATGAAGAGTGATTGTCACATGTGCTCCTCCTCACCGTATTGTTGTCTATGTCCCATGTTATATTGTTGGGGTCAATGTGAAGTTGGTCCTCCTCTTTAGCCCAAGGTGTGTAGAAGCCAACATTCGTAGACCTTAATCTAAGATGGCGGACAGACTTCATCCAATTTTCTATCTTGTAGTGGAAAGGAAATTCACCATTTTCATCAAATAAGGTCATTCTGTCTGCCGTCTTAAATGGATTTTTTATTTGTTTCACATATTTATACAACTGGAGGAAAGAAAAACCTCAAACAAGTTAAAGTGTTACTAAATCTACAACAGTACAATCAGTCTGTAGATGCAGTAAATCATGCTTGTTACGCTGACAGCTCGAGAGGAGAGCCGGTAATCGGCTTTCCGCGGAGGGGACATGTACACTGATCATCAGGGCACTGATGATCAGTGTGCCCTGATGATCAGTGTGGCCCCAGAAGTGCCACCTGTCAGTGTCCATCAGTGCCAGCAGTCAGTGCCACGTGCCAGTGCCCATCAGTGCCACATCAATGCCACATACCAGTGCACATCAATGCCACATATCAGTGCCCATCTGAGCTGCCTTTCAATGTCACCCATCAGTGCCAGTCAGTGCCACCTATCAATGCCAATCAATGCCACCTATCAGTGCTGCCAATCAGTGCCACCTATCAGTGCAATCAGTGCCGCCTATCAGTGCCAGTCAGTGCCGCCTATCAGTGCCAGTCAGTGCTGCCTATCAGTGCCATATAGCAGTGTCATGTATCAGTGCCTGCCTTTCAGTGCCCATCAGTGATGCCTGTCAATGCCCATCAGTGCCACCTATCAGTGCCCATCACTGCAGCCCTTTATTAGAGCACATCAGTGAAAAAGAAAAATCACTTATTTACAAAACTGTATAACAAAAAATTTTTTTTTTTCAAAATGTTCAATGGTTTTTGGTTTGTTTAAGAAAAAATAAAAATCCCAGAGGTGTTTAAATACCACCCAAAGAATGCTCTATCTGTCTCAAAAAAATTATAAAAATTTCATATGGGTACAGTGTTGCATGACTGCGCAATTGTCATTCAAAGTGTGACAGCGCTGAAACCTGGAAATTGGCCTGGGCAGGAAGGGGGTATAAGTGCCCTGTAGGCGAGGGGTTAATGTTTGCAAATGATCACAAATATTTATTCCATATGTAGGGATTTGCTGCCATCTATGGTTGGCTGCTAATATTACAGTGTTATGTATAATTATGTATTAGCACTTCCTGTCTCTGAGAGGCTGGCTTAGAAAAACCCGGAAGGAGGAAGTGATGAGATAAGAAAAAGAAAACCATCAAGGGTGTGACCGCGCTTTCATACGCTTTCCAAACAAATATGTGGATACATTAAAAAGTGTGATCACAAATACACGAATAAATTGTCCACGTAAAATTTAATAAAGTCCAAATAGTGAGCAGTGCAGATATAATCCCCAGCAGAGGTGATAAATCGGTGCCACCATGGGCTATGCTTTTCGGTCAAACCCTTGAGGTCTTTTTTCTTAATATCTTGGACCTATATTTTGAGTCTGATGACCAGCAAACTTTGAGTTTTATATGTATATAAAAGGAATAAGCGAGAGCTACAAACAAAAACACAAAGCTGCTGAAACACCAAAGGTAACCATAAAACCTCCTGAGAATAATTTTAAAATGGGGTGCAGTGCTAGTAACAAACCAATGAATATATAAAATGCTCAAAAAGATCAAATAGATGAGGAATAATCATTCAGCTCCTAACCCCCTCCCACCTAGATTGTAAGCTCGAAAGAGTAGGGCCCTCTTACCCCTCGTACGTTGTTTGTTGTTGTTGTACTGTGCCATGTATTGTCCCCCCCTCTATTGTACAGCGCTGAGCAAACCCTTTGGCGCTATATAAACTCGAAGTAATAATAATAATAATCTTATAATAGTGCAATAAATCCCCAATAGTGACATAGTGTTTACACATATGCAAATCAATAAATATAAAGTGCATAACAAAGGCCACATATAGTGGTTCCGGTGATAAGTGAAAGTCCAATGGATTGAACGTGGGGTAAGAAAGGATATCAAATACGTATTCCTCTTTTATATTAATCCAAGGTGGTAGATGGTGTGACCGATAATAGGTAAATTGCGCACTCACCAGATGCGCGATTTAAACACGCATTTGAGATATTCCTGTCTCATAAGGTCAGCCGGATCATCCGCTATAATGATAGCCAGCAAAACGTCAGGTTTCCTTTATGATAGACTCACAGAGAGCCCAAAAAAAATGCCACATAGCGTGCATACCCCCTATGACTATGTGCTAGAGCACGAAACGCGTCAGAGAGGAGCTACAGCGCCTTGATGTCTTGCCACTACTGGCGGCCATCTTGGACACACATGGTCAGTCTGTTTTGTTTTCTCTGTTCTTGCACCCTGTTTTGGGGAATAAAAATCCTCTTGTTATACAGTATTACGCTGTGTGGCATCCTTTTTTGGGCTTTCTGTAAGTCTAAACATTCACGGAGCCTATCATAGAGGAAACCTGATGTTTTGCTGATACTGGAGGACCCTGAAGGGAATGGGAACTTGGCTATCATTATAGTGGATGATCTGGCTGACCTGATTAGACAGTAATATCTCAAATGCGTGTTTAAATCGCGCATCTGGTGAGTGCGCAATTTACCTATTATTGGTCACACCATGTGTCACGGACTCTGGCGGTAGCTCTGTAGGTCCACAGTTTGGGGTTACCTAGGGAGCGGGGTCTAAGCCCCAGTCTGCTTGTTCACCAGAACCCCTGATGGTGGAGATGGACTTGGAGCAGGCTGAGACCAGGTCACGGCCCCCAGGTACGCCCAGCTGCAGTAGAGGAGACCGCTAGGGTCACGTACCTTGGTAGTGAGGCTGACGGGAAGAGGCAGAGCAGACCAGGATGCGGATGGATCCGTGCAGGATGGATGGATGAGGATGCACCGTGAGGCAAGTAGCGGAGTTAGGTGAGCCGAGTTTGGTATCTGAGGAGGCAGAGCAGACCAGAGCAACAGGCAGAAGGATAGTCGGGTCACAGGCCAGGTTCAGCAACAGGAGGTCCAAAAATGATCAGGAGCAGGCAGAAGAATATCCAGAGACAAGCCAGGGGTCACAGCAGGAGATGTCAACAGTAGTCAGGAGCAGGCTGGGTTAGGCAACAGAAAACAACTCAGAGTCAGGAATCTCAGGCAAGGGAATTAGACCCCACGGCAATTTGGATCCTGCAGTGGCCTGTTTAAATAGCCCACCCGGCACCGACATTGGTGACAGACGGGCCCCCGTGTGCACGAGTGCGCATGTGCGGCCGCAATTGCCGCCGTGCGCGCCTTGGTCCTAGTGACCACACGCCTGTATGTCCCGTGCATGCGGCGAACTTCCCTGACACCATCTACCACTTTGGATTAATACAAAAGAGGATACCTATTTGAGATCCTTCCTGATCCCCACGTTCAATCTATTGGACTTTCACTTATCACCGGAACCACTTTATGTGGTCTATGTTATGACCGTTAGATTTATTTGTATATGTGTAAACACTATGTCACTATTGGGGATTTATTGCACTATCAGTAGTATTAAAGGATTAGGAGCTGAATGATTATTCTTCATCTATTTGATCTTTTTGAGCATTTTATATATTCATTGGTTTGTTACTAGCGCTGCACCCCATTTTAAGATTATTTGAGTTTTCAGGGTTAGTGTTTGGGTCAAGTCAAGGTCCAAGGTCAAGGCCAAAGGTCAGGTTTTTTTTTTAATAGGTATTGAAAGGATTAAATGGAATATAACTGAATCCATTTTGTATACACTAATACAAGATGCTAGTTTAACATACATATATGAGATATGTGCACACTAACAAAACTGTCTATGCCAGCTTCATGTAGAAATGAGTGTTTTTGCAAACTTTACAAAAAAGCAGATAAGGTTTACTCTCACTTCTGAAAAGTTTTAACCACAACTTGGGTGTTGGGTCAGATTACAGCCATGGTCTTGGGTGTTGGGTCAGATTACAGCCATGGTCTTGGGTGTTGGGTCAGATTACAGCCATGGTCTTGGGTGTTGGGTCAGATTACAGCCATGGTCTTGGGTGTTGGGTCAGATTACAGCCATGGTCTTGGGTGTTGGGTCAGATTACAGCCATGGTCTTGGGTGTTGGGTCAGATTACAGCCATGGTCTTGGGTGTTGGGTCAGATTACAGCCATGGTCTTGGGTGTTGGGTCAGATTACAGCCATGGTCTTGGGTGTTGGGTCAGATTACAGCCATGGTCTTGGGTGTTGGGTCAGATTACAGCCATGGTCTTGGGTGTTGGGTCAGATTACAGCCATGGTCTTGGGTGTTGGGTCAGATTACAGCCATGGTCTTGGGTGTTGGGTCAGATTACAGCCATGGTCTGGGCGTTAGACCAGATATGGTATGATAGATAAAGCAGAAGAGTGAAAATGCAAACCTCATACAAATAATTGTTGAGTTAAGGTAAAAAAATGTACATGTATTTGATTGGATGGTCTGAGGGTGTGTTTGCCCAAAGACTACAGTATAATAACCCTGATGTTATGCCAATAAAACTGAAGTTTTGCAATCACAACTGAGGTGACTTGAGTGCATTCACTTTCCGAGATCTCGTAGCTGTGTCCAGGTGTGACCGTTGGTATCTTGAGGGGGCCCCCAAGGAACAGGAAAAAGACCACCTACCTACTTTCAGGTATCAGTGTGAGTTAGTGTCAGTGTGTTTTAGGTAAAAAAAACAAAAAACAAAATGTGCACCATTGTTTCTGGGCTGTACTGCGGATACAAACAACAACTAACATTGTTGCGATCGTCAAGAGCTGGAAAATGTATTTTGGGTTGTTCTTTGGTGGTAGGTTATGGTAGTAATAAGAAACACACAGCTATATTAAAAAAATATATTTTTTATATTTTGCACCAGTTTTCATTTGATAATAAAAAAAATATATATCCATTACCATTTACCACCAATTGAAAGCCCAATTTGTCCTGAAAAACAGGTGGTATAATCCACCCGGATGTACAGAGTATTTGTGATGATATGTACGATTTTACTAACACAGGTCAACATTTGTAAAATTTTAAGATTTGTTTTAACCTTAGGCATGAAGGGGTTAATGTATTTATTTACACACATTTCTGTGGTTGTCAGGCAATCAATCTGGCTGCTTCTGGTAGTTAGAGGTTGCATGGCAGGTTAGAACATACTAGTGACTGAGACACAGAGTAGATAGGCTGAGTCTGCTGATGAAATCTCCATTCCAGGCCAGTTGGACAATGGCTGGAGGGTCTCCTCATCACTGCAGATTTTATCTTCAGGTCTCGGACACAAAGATGGATGCAATCAGCCTCAGAGGGCCCCCTAAACTGGACTAGACATGTGGAGAATGAAAGATGTATTTTGTTTAGTTTCAGATCGATTCGTTGAGTTACTAATTTAGTTTAGTTGCATTCGTTAAATTTGGATGATTCATTTTTGTAATTTATGTCTTTTAGTTTTGTTTTGTTTATTCATTTTCAATTGGATTTGAATTTTCATAAGTGTCCGAAGCGAAATGAAAATATTGAATCAATACAAATTCATTGTGAAGAATAGCTGGTTGTTAAGGACTG